AACACGTGCATCTTCTCGCATGTCCAAGTTGCAGCGAGTAGTTCCTTTTCAATCTGGGCCCACCTCGTCTCTGTGTCCGTCAGACTTCTGCTGCAGAATGCGACGGGCTTGAAGCTGGAACCATGCTTCTGAAGGATGCATCCTCCGATTCCGTAGCTGCTTGCGTCTGCGCTGACCACTGTCTCGCGCGCTGGGTCGTAGAACGCCAGGACTGGAGCGGACGTGACGGCTGCTTTCACATCATCCAGTGCTTGCTGCTGCTGAGGCGTCCAGTTCCACGCAGCGTCCTTTTTCAGCAGATCGTTGAGGGGCCTTAGGCGCTCCTGGATGTGCGGGACGAACCAGCAGAGGTAGTTGACCACCCCTAGCAGAGACCGGAGCTCGGTGACGTTCTTTGGCTGCTGGAGCTGCTGTATCGCTTCGAGCTTCTCGTCGTCCACGCCGATGCCATTCTTGCTTATCTTCATGCCAAGAAACTTGACCTCGTCCCTTCGGAACTCACATTTCGTCTTGTTCAGCTTGAGGCCAGATTCGTGGATTCTTCTGATGACGGCTTCGAGACGTGCGTCATGGCTGCTTGCATCTCCAAAAACCAGCGTGTCGTCCATGTAGACGATGACTCCAGGCAGTCCATCCAGCATCTCTTGCATCTTTCGCTGGAAGCACTCCGGAGCCAGTGAGATTCCCATCGGCAGGCGCAGGAACCTCTTCCTGCCGAACGGTGTGATGAACGTAGTCATTTTGGAGCTTGCCTCGTCCAACGGGATCTGGTAGAAGCCAGAAGAAGCGTCCAGCTTGGAGAACAGTGTCGCACCGCCCAGCTTGGACGTCAGGTGCTCCAGGGTCGGGATCGGGAAGATCTCACGCTTTACGGCTTGGTTCAGCTTTTTGTAGTCAACTGTGATCCGGACACCACTGTTCTTCGGGACGGGGACGAGCGCAGATACCCAGTCTGTGGGCTCAGTCTCTGGTACGATGATGCCCTGCTCTTCCATTCTCTTCAGCTCCTCCTCCACTGGCTTCATCAGCGGCAGGGGGACGTGTCTCGCTGTGGAGAGAGCGACCGGGACGGCATCCTCGCGTACCCGGATGCTGATCGGTGCCGTCTTCATGAGACCTGCTTCTCCGAAGACATCTTCATGCACCTCTCCTGTGAACTGGAGGACACCCAGACGCGAGCACGCCGACCGGGAGAGGAGGTTCTCTGCTGAGTCCACTACATAGAACACCTCCGACTCCGCTTTGCTTTTGAACATGATTGTCCCATGCAGCTTTCCTTTTACGGTTAGCACGCCACCGACGCTAGTGAGCGTGCTTGAGGCATGCTCAAGGGAGGGCAGGTTCAGTCGCTGGTAGGTTTTCAAAGACAGAATGCTAACGTCGGCACCAGAATCAACTTTGAACGTGACCTCCTGACCGCAGAGACTGACTGTGACTCTCCACGGCGCGCACGCTTTGTCGATTTCACCAACGAAAGCATCATGTGGCGCTAACGGCTCGCTTGATTCTGTACGCTCTATCTGCCTGACGCTAGGTGATCGGCAGACGGCTGCGAAGTGATCCATTTTCTGACAGTTGGAACAAACTTTTCCCTTAGCGGGACAGTCCCTCGGTGAAGCATGTCGCTCTCTCCCGCAATACCTGCATGTTGTTGCAGAGTCGATGTGACGCGCTTGCTGTCGTGGCTGCGTGACAGTTGACTGCTGCTGTCGCCCGTGCTGCTGGCGCCGTTGGTGCTGCTGCTGATGGCCACGCTGGCGCTGACGGGCATGCTGCGGCTGCTGGCGCGGCTGTCCGTACTGCGTCGGTGCTTGAACCCTGTTGACATCAAATGGACCGGAGCTGTCACGGCTGCTTACGATTTCGACGTTACGCATCGTTGTAATGACGGTATTCATCGACACCTCTTCCTCGAGCGATTTGAGCTGGATCTTGCGGGACAGCTCCCTGTCGGACATCCCGGATATGAGACGATCCCGGATCCGCTCATCAGCGTCTGCAAAGCCACAATGCTCGGCGAGAGAGAACAATGCCCTGATATACGATTCGTTGGTCTCGTGTGACCCTTGGCATCGGAGCTCGAAGTTGTGACGTTCTGCAACAAAGTTCCGTCTCGGAATGAAATACTCGTCAAGCTTGCTCTGCACAAAATCAAAATCTTTGCTTTGCTCAGTAGTTAGCTTAAAAGTTGACACGATATGCTCGGCCTGCGGGCCCATGCTATAGATCAACGCAGCTACTTGCACATCACCGTCCTCCTTGTGAAGTCCCGATGCCAGTCGGTAGCGGATGAAGCGATCACGCCACGCCGGCCACTTCTCAGGAGAGGTGAAGTCAAAGTCTTCTGGTGGATGGAAACCAGGCATTTTGAGTGACGATGCAGCACAGCAGCTACACGAAGGTCTTCAATATCGGCAGATAAAAATCACAATAATTAGATGCACGCTTCACAAAAAAGTCACTAACGCTTGCTTATGCTTGCTTGATTAGTGGCACGGGAGGTTCAGAAGGCAGGCTGCGCCAAGTTTGTGTGCTTGCTTATGGCTTGATGAACCCCAGGGTGCAGACGCCACCAGTACCAGCCGAGAACTGTATTCAGCGAGCGGGGCGGCGGTGGCCCGGGCGGCCACAGCCCAGACTGCATACGATACCGGCGCCGGCTCAGCGGCGGTTCCAGGCTATAGAGCGGGGTGTGACCACAGCAGCCACCACGATACAGCTGTGACCGCCGACTACTGACCGGTGCCCCCTGCGCTGTGACCGCCGACTACTGACCGGTGCCCCCTGCCCTCTCTGACCGCCGACTACTGACCGGTGCTCCCTGCGCTGTGACCGCCGACTACTGACCGCTGCCCCCTGCCCTCTGACCGCCGACCACTGACCGGTGCCCCCTGCGCTGTGACCGCCGACCACTGACCGCTGCCCCCTGCCCCCTGCCCCCTGCGCTGTGACCGCCGACTACTGACCGGTGCCCCCTGCGCTGTGACCGCCGACTACTGACCGCTGCCCCCTGCCCTCTCTGACCGCCGACTACTGACCGGTGCCCCCTGCGCTGTGACCGCCGACTACTGACCGGTGCCCTCTGCGCTGTGACCGCCGACTACTGACCGGTGCTCCCTGCCCTCTCTGACCGCCGACCACTGACCGGTGCCCCCTGCGCTGTGACCGCCGACCACTGACCGCTGCCCCCTGCCCCCTGCCCCCTGCGCTGTGACCGCCGACTACTGACCGGTGCCCCCTGCGCTGTGACCGCCGACTACTGACCGCTGCCCCCTGCCCTCTCTGACCGCCGACTACTGACCGGTGCCCCCTGCGCTGTGACCGCCGACTACTGACCGGTGCCCTCTGCGCTGTGACCGCCGACTACTGACCGGTGCCCCCTGCCCTCTCTGACCGCCGACTACTGACCGGTGCTCCCTGCGCTGTGACCGCCGACTACTGACCGCTGCCCCCTGCCCTCTGACCGCCGACCACTGACCGGTGCCCCCTGCGCTGTGACCGCCGACCACTGACCGCTGCCCCCTGCCCCCTGCCCCCTGCGCTGTGACCGCCGACTACTGACCGGTGCCCCCTGCGCTGTGACCGCCGACTACTGACCGCTGCCCCCTGCCCTCTCTGACCGCCGACTACTGACCGGTGCCCCCTGCGCTGTGACCGCCGACTACTGACCGGTGCCCTCTGCGCTGTGACCGCCGACTACTGACCGGTGCTCCCTGCCCTCTCTGACCGCCGACTACTGACCGGTGCTCCCTGCCCTCTCTGACCGCCGACTACTGACCGGTGCCCCCTGCCCTGTGCGTTGTGACCGCCGACTACTGACGGGTGTCCCCTGCGCTCTGACCGCCGACCACTGACCGGTGCCCCCTGCGCTGTGACCGCCGACTACTGACCGGTGCCCCCTGCGCTGTGACCGCCGACTACTGACCGCTGCCCCCTGCGCTCTGACCGCCGACCACTGACCGGTGCCCCCTGCGCTCTGACCGCCGACTACTGACCGGTGCCCCCTGCGCTGTGACCGCCGACCACTGACCGGTGCCCCCTGTGCGCTGTGACCGCCGACTACTGACCGGTGCCCCCTGCCCTCTGCGCTGTGACCGCCGACCACTGACCGGTGCCCTCTGCGCTGTGACCGCCGACTACTGACCGGTGCCCCTGCCCTCTCTGACCGCCGACCACTGACCGGTGCCCCCTGCCCCCTGCGCTGTGACCGCCGACCACTGACCGGTGCCCCCTGCCCTCTGCGCTGTGACCGCCGACCACTGACCGGTGCCCCCTGCGCTGTGACCGCCGACCACTGACCGGTGCCCCCTGCGCTGTGACCGCCGACCACTGACCGCTGCCCTGTGCGCTGTGACCGCCGACTACTGACCGGTGCCCCCTGCGCTGTGACCGCCGACTAATGACCGGTGCCCCCTGCGCTGTGACCGCCGACTACTGACCGGTGCCCCCTGCCCTCTGACCGCCGACTACTGACCGGTGCCCCCTGCCCTGTGACCGCCGACTACTGACCGCCGACTACTGACCCCTGTGACCGCCGACTACTGACCGGTGCCCCGGCCCGACCCCCTGCGCTCTGACCGCCGACTACTGACCGCTGCCCCCTGCGCTGTGACTGCCGACTACTGACCGGTGCCCCCTGCCCTGTGACCGCCGACTACTGACCGCCGACTACTGACCCCTGTGACCGCCGACTACTGACCGGTGCCCCGGCCCGACCCCCTGCGCTCTGACCGCCGACTACTGACCGCTGCCCCCTGCGCTCTGACCGCCGACTACTGACCGCTGTGACCGCCGACCACTGACCGGTGCCCTCTGCGCTGTGACCGCCGACTACTGACCGGTGCCCCCTGCGCTGTGACCGCCGACCACTGACCGGTGCCCCCTGCCCTCTGCGCTCTGACCGCCGACCACTGACCGGTGCCCTCTGCGCTGTGACCGCCGACCACTGACCGGTGCCCCCTGCGCTGTGACCGCCGACCACTGACCGGTGCCCCCTGCGCTGTGCGCTGCGCCAGGCTGCGGGAGCCGGAGACGGTGCGGCGTCTGTCGGCCGCCGCCGGTGCCGGCCCACTCAGCGAGGCCACCTGCCGTCAGCTGATCGCCGCCGGCGACCACCTGCAGGGCCACGACCTGTGCCGGCAGCTGTACATGGCGCAGCTCGACCTGAAGCTGCACCTCGGGTACCGTGCCGCTATAATGGGCCACTGCACCGCGGGTACCGTGCCGCTACAATGGGCCACTGCACCGCGGGTACCGTGCCGCTATAATGGGCCAATGCACCGCGGGTACCGTACCGCTATAATGTACCACTCCACCGCGGGTTCCGTGCCGCCGAATGGTTGCTGTGCCAGGCTCGGTGCAGTAACTTCCCTTTACCGTCACGTATAGGATTATCAGTGCTGACTGTAGCTTGGCGCTTACTTGTGCCGCTGACTGTTCTGATCAGGGTACTGTGCTGTGCTGTGCTGTACTGTACTGTTCTGATCAGGGTACTGTCAACTGTGCTGTACCGTTCTGACCAGGGTACCGTGCTGTGCTGTACCGTTCTGATCAGGGTGTTCTGTACCGGATGCGCTCCGTCTGTGACTGTGTGTCTGTGTGTCTGTGTCTGTGACTGTGTGTCTGTGTCTGTGACTGTGTGTCTGTGACTGTGTGTCTGTGTCTGTGACTGTCTGTGACTGTGTGTCTGTGACTGTGTGTCTGTGACTGTGTCGGTGTCTGTGACTGTGTGTCTGTGACTGTGTCGGTGTCTGTGACTGTGTGTCTGTGTCTGTGACTGTGACTGTGTCTGTGTTTCTGTGTCTGTGACTATATGTCTGTGTCTGTGACTGTGTCTGTCTGTGACTGTGTGTCTGTCTGTGATTGTGTGTCTGTGACTGTGTGTATGTGTCTGTGACTGTGTGTCTGGGACTGTGTGTCTGTGACTGTGTCTGTGACTGTGTGTCTGTGTCTGTGTGTCTGTGACTGTGTCTGTGTCTGTGTCTGTGACTGTGTGTCTGTCTGTTTTGTCTGTGACTGTGTGTCTGTGTCTGTGACTGTGTGTCTGTGTCTGACTGTGTCTGTGTCTGTGACTGTGTGTCTGTGTCTGACTGTGTGTCTGTGACTGTGTGTCTGTGTCTGTGACTGTGTGTCTGTGACTGTGTGCCTGTGTCTGTGACTGTGTCTGTGACTGTGTGTCTGTGACTGTGACTGTGTGTCTGTGACTGTGTCTGTGACTGTGTCTGTGGCTGTGTGTCTGTGACTGTCGGTGACTGTGTGTCTGTCTGTGACTGTGTGCCTGTAACTGTGTGTCTGTGACTGTGTGTGACTGTGTGTCTGTGCATGTGTCTGTGCATGTGTCTGTCTGTGACTGTGTGTCTGTGACTGCGTGTGTGTGTCTGTGGCTGTGTGTCTGTGTCTGTCTGTGACTGTGTGTCTGTGACTGTGTGTCTGTCTGTGTCTGTGACTGTGTGTCTGTGACTGTGTGCCTGTGTCTGTGACTGTGTCTGTGACTGTGTGTCTGTGACTGTGACTGTGTGTCTGTGACTGTGTGTCTGTGTCTGTGACTGTGTGTCTGTGACTGTGTGTCTGTGACTGTGACTGTGTGTCTGTGACTGTGTGTCTGTGTCTGTGACTGTGTGTCTGTGACTGTGTGTCTGTGTGTCTGTGTCTGTGACTGTGTGTCTGTGTCTGTGACTGTGTGTCTGTGACTGTGTCTGTGACTGTGTGTCTGTGTCTGTGACTGTGTGTCTGTGTGTCCGTGTCTGTGACTGTGTGTCTGTGTCTGTGACTGTGTGTCTGTGTCTGTGACTGTGTGTCTGTGACTGTGTCTGTGACTGTGTGTCTGTGTCTGTGACTGTGTGTCTGTCTGTGACTGTATGTCTGTGTCTGTATGTGACTGTGTGACTGTGTGTCTGTGACTGTGACTGTGATTACTGTCCTCCAGGAAGGACGGCTTCTGGCTGAACCTGCAGCAGGAGCTCTACAGCCAGTTCCTGCCGTTCCAGCTGCACAGCAAGGACGCGCACACCATGAGTTTCGTACAGGTGAGAGAGCGGCACACCGCGGCCGGCCAGCAGATGTACCGACAGCCCGGTACAGCACAGTGTACCCAGCAGAGGTACAAACAGGCCGGTACAGCACAGTGGTAGCAGAGGTACCGACAGCCCGGTACAGCACAGTGTACCCAGCAGATGTACCGACAGGCCGGTACAGCACAGTGTACCCAGCAGATGTACCGACAGGCCGGTACAGCACAGTGTACCCAGCAGATGTACCGACAGCCCGGTACAGCACAGTGTACCCAGCAGAGGTACCGACAGGCCGGTACAGCACAGTGGTAGCAGAGGTACCGACAGCCCGGTACAGCACAGTGTACCCAGCAGATGTACCGACAGGCCGGTACAGCATAGTGTACCCAGCAGATGTACCGACAGGCCGGTACAGCACAGTGGTAGCAGAGGTACCGACAGGCCGGTACAGCACAGTGTACCCAGCAGATGTACCGACAGGCCGGTACAGCACAGTGTACAGTAGGTCTACTAAAAAAGTCCCCCGCTCCAGAGGCGGCCGGCCGGCCGAACCCCCGGATTCCAGCCCCGACTCTATTGCGCAGGCCGCGGCAGCGACACGGGTCAGGTCGCGGCGCCCGGCGAGTGGGTCAGTTGGCGGCGGCCGGCCGTGGAGTGAGGACGCCGTGTGTGGGGCGCAGAGATGCCGCAGTGCAGAGGAGGGGAAGATAGGGACTCGGCACGACGCCGGAAATGATGCCTTTGTGATCCTAAATTAAGCACCTGCAGTGCATATCCTCCCTTGCCCCATTCCTATTTTATCATAATCCTTCAATAATCCGTAATGACTATTCAACGCAAGCAAGCAAACCGTTTAGCGGGGACATAATCTCGGATAAAAAAGCGACAGTGATGATGAGAATAGACTTAGCACGAGGGCAAATCGAGGGGTATATATGCATCACATACCGAGTATTCTATTCACATCTAGCGAATTAAGATTGGGGATCTTGTCCAACAAGTCAGCGGGCGTTCTAGACGCAGATAAATGCTTTGTTTTCGGTCGCATCATTATCTGCAATAATTCGAAGCGGTGTTCAACCCTCGACGGCCGAGAAGGAGGGATGGATGCCGCCACCATGTATTTTTTGCGGTAGGTAGCTCAAAGCACACTGAGAAGGCTGACATTTCATATACCTTACATTTGATTCAAGCCGGATCATTTGAAATCAACCACGTTTTCAGGTCAGGTCACTTAACCCGCGCCCCGTTGGGGTTGCCGAGCAACGCGCCCTACTGGGGGAGGGCAATTTGCCCCCCCCCCCCCAAGATCTCGAGAACCACGCAACATAGTGACAAGCGGCAAACGGTGTTAGATAGCCCCAACAAGGAACTACCTTGTGACCCAATTTCATTGACCTAGGTCAAACTGATGACGTCAAAGGTCAGGTCCAATGTCGAATTTTCACCGGTTAAGGCATTTCAAGAAATGCGTTGTAAAATCGAGTAAAATGCATTTCATTGAAAATCATCGATGGGGAAATGTTCGTCAAACACATATTTTGCTATTTGAGGTCACTGATACCAGTTCAGGTCACAGAGGTCAGGTCACTGAGGGTCACAATATGAAAATACCATGTGTTGAATGTTTTATGGTCCTTTTTATTTACCAAATACGATTATGTGGGTCAGGCAACCTTTGGGGTCAGTTAAGATGATGTTCTGGTGAAGGTCAGGTTAAGGTCAGGTCAAATAGGGTCAAATTTCAAAGTTGATATTTTTGCACAAAATGGTTATCGATTCGATGCAGCTCGTCTCGGGGAGTTCAATGGTGGTCTTTGTTTTGCGCTACGTAGTCTAGAATTGCTAACAATTGAGTTAAAAAAAATTGACGTCATCAATTTTGAACAGTTTTTTCGCTATAACTTGGCCAAAAAAGGAGGTATCGATCTTAAAATTGGTAGGCATATAGAAAGGCTCAGGGACTATCACACATATTCCGGTTGTTTCGAAGTTCGGAAAATTTTCGTATTTTTTACGTTTTTCTTTAAAAAAAACAATTTTTCCCCATTTTTGGGGTCAAAATCTCACAATTCTGAAAATCCGAGATAGCAGTTTTGTAGTGCCGCCTTTTTTCTACATGGCCATATAAAGAACTTTAAAATTGCTTGGTAACTGTAGCTTTCGGGAGCGTTTCAAGATTTCATGTTTTTTGCTCATTTTTGCTCGAACATGACCTCAGTTTGACCTCAATAACTCCTGACCTAAGGTGACTTAAGACTTGAAATTTTGTGTGAAGGTGTCAAATTGATGCCCAAAAGGTACTAAAAATTTGGCGGCGCTGCGCGCCGCCGTTTTCTTGCTATTCAGGAAAAACCACAGGCGGGGGTCAAATTGCCCCTCCCATCGGGCGAGGGTTAACTATGACGGTAAAACTATGAGGTTTAACTACGACGGGTAAACCTCTGCACGGTTGTCGGTTATAAAATGATGCAAATCCGCAATGCACTTAGTGTCATATAAGCATAATGCGGAAATATGGAAACTGTTAATTTGGCGTCGGAAATTATCTGAAACTATACCTCAAGCACATGAAATCGTGACTTCCATACATTCTTGGTAAGGTCTAATGCTTCACTTTTGCATTGTTCTCCTTGCGTGACGTCATTTATGACGTCACTAGGGTCATAGGAGTGCTTCGTCAATAACTACCGATCAAAATTAGCTGGCCAGTGGCCAGTCTGGACAGCCATCAATGGACTTTGCAAGACTTGCCGAATCAAATGTTATGCAACATGTCCTCCTTTCAACAGCTTCTTGACCTGTGATGCCCTAACATGACATTGACCTGAGGTAAACATTATAAATTGCTTCACCTAAACAAAAAAGCATATAAATCGACGCGTCTGAGAACAGAAAACATGATTGTATCGAAATGACGATAATGCGACCATTTTTGCGAAGTTATTTACCAAAAACCGATCCAATGCCTTGGCGCCCTTGACTTGCCCTAAGAGGTCACTGATATTTGAAAATGGGATACCAGTCGCTGCGTCACGTAACGACGCAAGCGCTCGTTTTTTTCCGCGAGGCTCTAGCACCCAGCTCAATTATAGGAGCTAAACATGGGGTTAGGGAATCGCTCCCTTCTCAGTTCTCACTCGCTCTTTGGGCGAGATAGTGTTTGCAATGGTTGTTAAAATCTAGCATTTTAAGATTTAAAATGACCCATTTTTTCCCGCCCAAGTCCTTCAATTCAAGGTCATAACACCAGGTCACGTCAAGTGACCTTACCTCAAAGAAAGTTCCTCTGCTCATCATATATAAATACACCGACTAACCGATCGCTTTAGAACTTTCAGCGATTTCAATGGGCACTCAGTAGGTATATATTTGAAACGTTTACTTTGCAAGTTTGACATTGTTGACAGAAAGGCCGGATCAATTTTGAGATCATTCAAGTCAATGGGAGAAAATTTAACTGCGCTTTTTTGGACGGAACGCATAATAAACACTCTGAAAACATGTGGTGCTTGATGATATAAAATACTGAATGAGAAAATTGTTTGTTTTGTTGGGTGCCATCTTTTTCGGTCTGAAAAGGCCATTGCAGAGCTATGACATAACTATGCTCTGGTGTAGTAATTGGCTTGTGCGAGCCAGCGACAGTGATCTGCGGAAGCGAGACTGTTCCCGTGGGATCATTGCCCTGTCGGGACGGTCCAGTCGTCTCCCAAACGGTCACCCGAAGAGGATTATGTGTCCTGGAATGGATCCGACAATCCGACATCAACTACAGGTTAACTAGTGGGGTGACCTCCAGCCCAGAGAGGGAAGCATGAAGACTAGGGGCGATGCAGATTGGTTTTTCCTGAGGATAGCGAGGACGGAAGGAATCTAGCACCCTTGACCGTCCCTTCCTTATATTGAATGTATTTCAGGCTGCTAAATCTCCTAAGTGTTTTTTTTTTCTCGACATCGTCAAGGTGTCATAAATAAAAATATGAAATCCGGAAGGATAAATTAGCTATAGAAATTGTGGCCAACAGAACATTATCAGTTGCGTTCAACATACTCGTAAGCATGATCACACACCCAGCTTACATATGAGCCATGTAATAATTATTTTTGATAGACATGAAATCATCTGAAGTGTTTGTAAAGTTCCACGATACGGATCTAATATCCTGCTATGCATCATGACCATTTCTGGTCAGGTCATGTCTTTGAACATCGGCCAAATTTTTCAAATGACCTTTAAAGGTCAACATTTGATTCATTTGAAGCGTTTTGATAAGAGGAACACGAGGCTGGTAAAATTAATTTCATGCAAGTTTTAAGCTAAAAACTTTTAAGTGTTTGTGGGAAAACAATTGGTTATCTCATAATAGGGGTGGCAGTTGTTGTTATTTACATGCTAAGCCGTTGACCTTAATTAAATCTGACAATATTATTCAGACATAGCGGTAAACGAGCTGATTGTTGTGTTAGGTTAGGCTCTTTTGGTCGATTTCAGAGTGGGAAGAATGACAGAAATTAGGGGGAGACAGGGGCCCTGGGCGGGAGTCCTGGGCCTCAGGCTCCGCTGGGGCCGAGCTCAACACGTGGGTTGGATTGCCCTGACACATGGATAGCCCTGGGCGGTGTTTCACGGTCCCGCGCTGCGCTCTGCAGCACGCTGCGCTGCGCTGCTGCATTGTTGCGGCGGTTGATATGAATTCGGCTCCACGCTAGCGTTGCGAGCTTCCGAGTCTGTTGATGTTTCCATGGAAATTGGAAACCCAATGCACCGATGCGCGCAACGCACCCTGTCCATGCAAAATTTTACCATCGATGACCTCTGGTGACATGACCTCTGGCTCTGACCCGATCTAAAATTGACTGAAGTATTTTTTCTTCTTTTTGCTACTTTTGACGCTACTTCGAATACCACTTAAAGGTAGTGTGCCACCTTTGAAAGATTTCCCATTTTATTTTTCCTAGGATAAGAAGCTTCTGTTTTTACCTAATATCGCAAAAAAAAAAAATCAAAAATGGGCCTGGAATAGTGCCTTTTTCGCCTAAAAGTTTTTCGGTTTTTAGATATGTATAACAACTGTAGTGGGCTCACCTGCAAACAGGCGTCGGGCAACAATCGCGAATGCGGCGCACTTGTGACAATAAGCAAAGGTCATTATAGTGTTACGACCATACGACGTACGGGAATGAGCTATCAGCTGTCTAATCGTAGACAACACAATGTCGAGCCTTAAACTGTAAGCCCGTATTGGTATTGTTTCTTTTATTTGGCTGTCGAACATTATTTATGGTTTGAAATATGATTTTATGTAAAATAATTGATATGAAAAAGCCGTCTTATAAGTTATGACCCCATTTCACCACACGCAAGTGGCAGAAATGACAATGATCAGCTGACGCATTTTTCTTGGCCGAAGTCAGAGCGCGCGGCCCGACGCACCACGCGTATTTGGAAATTCCGACCTCGACGAGCATCAGAAGCCACCTAACAGGCGTGTTCGAAACCGCAGGAGCTGATGATGAACGGGTTTATCGAAACTTGATTGGATGAGCATATCGGTAATAGCGATTTCAGTGTGTGCATTTATTGTTCATAGTGGTGTGAAATGTGGTTGGGGTACGACCGACAACCCGTCGGGGCGAATTTCGCACTGGGGTACTCAAAATTTGAAGAATTTAAGACGTTTCCATGAGTTTTGAAGGTATGGATAAGTTCTAAAAATCCGGTTCTCCTTATCTGGGCCATTAACTCCATACGGTCCAAGAAAGCTGGCACACTACCTTTAAATGCCCAAAGCTGAGTTATAAGAATGATGCTCAGCTCAATCCCCATTTCCCCTCCAACAGGGCGTGAGAGTCTAGGCATTCCTGTGGGGCACGGGCTAACAATGACTATCTCATAATCATTGTGGCCATGCACATCTACTGCCATTCTTTAACATCGGTTTCGCTGCGCTGAGCGGTGGCCGTCCCGTTTGCTGGATTTTACAGCTGGCTGGGGAAAGCGTTACCGGCCGGCCGTCCACCGCCCGCGGGCCGGACCGAGCGGTCCCGCTGACCCTACCTGACCTGAGCCCGGCGCGATATGGGACAGGCAGACGGGGGTTCGGCTCAGCGAAGGCAGCGCCCACTGGTGCTGGGGACTTTTTTAATAGACCTACTGTACCCAGCAGATGTACCGACAGGCCGGTACAGCACAGTGTACCCAGCAGATGTACCGACAGGCCGGTACAGCACAGTTTACCCAGCAGATGTACCGACAGCCCGGTACCAATACAGTGTACCCAGCAGATGTACCGACAGGCCGGAACAGCACAGTGTACCCAGAATATCTACCGACAGCCCGGTACAGCACAGTGTACCCAGCAGATGTACCGACAGGCCGGTACAGCATAGTGTACCCAGCAGATGTACCGACAGGCCGGTACAGCACAGTGTATTACAATGGACGTTGGACACTGTGACAGTAGTATAGCACCTTAGTGGATCAAATGAGACTGTAAGACTTTACAGCGGCGAGTCCCACAGCCAAACACACAGAGCGGCAGCGCACACGGAATGGGCCACAGTCAGGGACGAGGCGCCGGGGCCGCACACGGAATGGACCACAGTCAGGGACGAGGCGCCGGGGCCGCACACGGACTGGACCACAGTCAGGGACGAGGCGCCGGGGCCGCACACGGAATGGGCCACAGTCAGGGACGAGGCGCCGGGGCCGCACACGGAATGGACCACAGTCAGGGACGAGGCGCCGGGGCCGCACACGGACTGGACCACAGTCAGGGACGAGGCGCCGCGGCCGCACACGGGATGGCCCGCAGTCAGGGACGAGGCGCCGGGGTCGCACACGGAATGGACCACAGTCAGGGACGAGGCGCCGGGGCCGCACACGGAACGGACCACTGTCAGGGACGAGGCGCCGGGGCCGCACACGGAATGGACCACAGTCAGGGACGAGGCGCCGGGGCCGCACACGGAACGGACCACTGTCAGGGACGAGGCGCCGGGGTCGCACACGGAATGGACCACAGTCAGGGACGAGGCGCCGGGGCCGCACACGGAACGGACCACTGTCAGGGACGAGGCGCCGGGGCCGCACACGGAACGGACCACTGTCAGGGACGAGGCGCCGGGGCCGCACACGGAATGGACCACTGTCAGGGACGAGGCGCCGCGGCCGCACACGGAATGGACCACTGTCAGGGACGAGGCGCCGGGGCCGCACACGGAACGGACCACTGTCAGGGACGAGGCGCCGGGGCCGCACACGGACTGGACCACAGTCAGGGACGAGGCGCCGGGGCCGCACACGGACTGGACCACAGTCAGGGACGAGGCGCCGGGGCCGCACACGGAATGGACCACAGTCAGGGACGAGGCGCCGGGGCCGCACACGGAATGGACCACTGTCAGGGACGAGGCGCCGGGGCCGCACACGGAATGGAGCACAGTCAGGGACGAGGCGCCGCCACGACCCCGCCTGGTGTTCGACACCCAGCGATACCTGAACAATCACTGGCCGGGAAGTGACTGTACTCCGGGTCAGCTCCTTCATTACCGGTCTTGGCACCATACTGATGGGTCATGTGATGTGCAGACAGACATACACCCGTGACCGGGCGGGGTTGGCCGGCCTGTGGTGACTGGTGGCCTGAGCGTCACTCGAGCCTTAGCGACACCCGAGCTTAAACGACCCATTGTGAGATAAGACGCGCCGCGCCGGCCGCCATAACTGCACGTGCCTTATGATTTCATCCGACCCAGTGAGAGAGCCCCCGACCCAATCCTGATTCAGTTCCTCTCCAGCAGCCTCCGAAGTCGGTCAAAACTCAAATACAAGAAGAGAAGCACTGTTCACTGTTTGCACCAGCGGATTGTGGCCCGCAAGAAGATAGTCCACCGAGCAGAGTGCACTATTATAGCCACAGGCCGGCCGGCTCCCGTCTGTCTGTGGCCCCTCCCCTCCCCTCCCCTCAGAGAGGGGACCCCGCGGATCGGGTGGCCAGTGTCGGTCTGATTCCCCCCCCCCCCCCCCCCCCAGGTATCCGACCCCGCGGGTCGGGTGGCCAGTGTCGGGTGCTGGCCGGCGGGCGCCCCCCGCCGCCGCCGCCGGTGGGGGGCGGGGGGGGAGCACCACGTCCAGCAACCACCAGTACCGCACCAGCAGCACACCACCTTTGTCGACAGACCTGAGGAGTGGAGACCTTCCCCGCCACCTCCCCACGCCCCCACTACTACATTATCCTCACTACAGGCCCGCTGTTCCTCCTTTCGTTGGCCCGTCGGTCGGCCTTTGTCGCTTCAGTGCGGGCTCACTGCTCTGACCGACTGACAGAGGGCACGGGAGGAGTGGAGACTGGGCTGCAGCCCCAGCTGCCGGACCTGGGCCTCTCCTACCGCCGACCGCCGCGAGCACCTGCTAGTGATACTGTGTCCGTGTCCGTGTCTTCGACTGTCTGCCTGTCTCTGTCTGTCTGTCTGTCTGTGTCTGTCTGTCTGTCTGTCTGTCTGTCTGTCTGTCTGTCTGAGTCTGTGTCTGTGTCCGACAGTCGCTGGCGCCGTGTGTCTGTGTCTCTGTCTGTCTGTCTGTGTCTCTGTCTGTCTGTCTGTGTCTGTCTGTGTCTGTGTCTGTCTGTCTGTGTCTGTGTCTGTCTGTGTCTGTGTCTGTCTGTCTGTGTCTGTGTCCGTGTCTGTCTGAGTCCGTGTCTGTCTGAGTCCTTGTCTTTGTCCGACAGTCGCTGGCGCAGGACCTCGGCGGCGGCGTGTACAGCGCACTCTGGGCCCGGATGATTGGCGCCGACGTGTCGGCCGCCTTCAGCGAGTGCGCCGGCGACACGGAACAGCTGCGCGCCGTCGGAAAAAGGTGGGAGCCGCGCCGCCCGCCCGGCGCCCACCCAGAGGGGGGGGGGGGGGCAGCACACGCGCGCACCAGACCGGTGTCCGATGTGCTGGTATGGTGGTCACTGGTCACTGGTCACTGGTCACTGTTCAGGTCTGGTGGACTGTGTCTGAGCGACGCGTGACGCTCTGCCCGGGCCGTGTCTGACGCTGTCTGGGCTCTGTCTGGGCTGTGTCTGGGCCGTGTCTGCCGCTCTGTCTGACGCTGTCTGCCGCTCTGTCTGGGTCTGTGTCTGCTCTGTCTGGGCTGTGTCTGTGTCTGGGCTGTGTCTGCCGCTGTCTGGGCTGTGTCTGGGTCTGTCTGACGCTGTCTGTCGCTCTGTCTGACACTGTCTGCCGCGGCGGCAGGTTCCGGGACACTTATCTGTCTGCCGGCGGCGCCGTCCACCCGTCCGAGGTGTTTCGCCGGTTCCGCGGCCGAGACCCCACCTGTGACGCCTTCATCCGGCTGCACGGCCTGCACCGACTGGGCCGGCAGCAGCAGCACGGCTGAGCGGCCCGGCCCGGCCGGCCCCGTGCCGACTGGGCCGGCAGCAGCAGCACGGCTGAGCCGCCCGGCCGGCCTGCACCGACTGGGCCGGCAGCAGCAGCACGGCTGAGCCGCCCGGCCGGCCCCGTGCCGACTGGGCCGGCAGCAGCAGCACGGCTGAGCGGCCCGGCCTCCGTGCCGCTGTACCAGACCGCAGCACCGCGGCCCTGTGTTGTTGTATTGTGTTGTTATCGGAGGCGGCTGTCAGTCTATGCCGCCGCCGCCGGCCGGCCGCTGTGGACCGGTCCGCCCGCGCAGTACACACTGTACACAGTACGCAGTGTCCAGGCGCGGCGCGGCGCCGCTGGGAGCGTCCCCGTTCCCGGGCGTCTGCCGGCGCCGGCGCGGCCGGTGTCCGGTGGCTGAGCAGTGAGCAGGGGGGCCCGGTGGGCGGCTGTCGGTGTCACGCCCCCGCCCCCGCCCCCGCCCCCGCCCCCCGCCCCCCGCCCCGGCTGTCGGCCAGCCGCCGTAGTGGTGTGATGACTAGGAGCTGTGCAAACGGGAGCCGAGCTGCTCAATGGCCGAGTGCGATCGTCCCAATACATGATATCCTGTATCGCCCAGTAGTGTGGGTTGGAGAGCAGGTGTGCCGGGGTCGCTGAGCCAGCGCACCCGTCACCCGTATATCGCCCAATGAGGTACTTATTGCTGGCAACATCAGCCCTGCCTGTGCCGGGTGGATGGTGGGATTAGGAAGCTGCAGTGGTGGCGCTGAACTGCAGGGCGGCGGCCCGGCGGCCTGGTCCCGGAGGACGGCCCAGCGGCCAGCACCGACGGACGGTACGGACCGGTACGGTACGGTACGCCGGTACGGTACGGTACGGACCGGTACGGTACGGACCGGTACGGTACGGTACGGGACGGTACGGACGGACCGGTACGGTACGGTACGGTACGGTACGGTACGGACCGGTACGGTACGGACCGGTACGGTACGGTACGGTACGGTACGGTACGGACCGGTACGGTACGGTACGCCGGTACGGTACGGTACGGACCGGTACGGTACGGTACGGTACGGTACGGTACGGTACGGTACGGACCGGTACGGTACGGTACGGTACGGTACGGACCGGTACGGTAGTACGGTACGGTACGGACCGGTACGGTAGTACGGTACGGACCGGTACGGTACGGTACGGACCGGTACGGTACGGACCGGTACGGTACGGTACGGTACGGTACGGTACGGACCGGTACGGTACGCTACGGACCGGTACGGTACGGACCGGTACGGTACGGACCGGTACGGTACGGTACGGTACGGTACGGTACGGTACGGTACGGTACGGACCGGTACGGTACGGTACGGTACGGTACGGACCGGTACGGTAGTACGGTACGGTAGTACGGTACGGTACGGTACGGTACGGTACGGTACGGTAGTACGGTACGGTACGGACCGGTACGGACCGGTACGGTAGTACGGTACGGTACGGACCGGTACGGTAGTACGGTACGGTACGGACCGGTACGGTAGTACGGTACGGTACGGTACGGACGGACCGGTACGGTACGGTACGGTACGGGACGGTACGGACGGACCGGTACGGTAGTACGGTACGGGACGGTACGGTACGGACCGGTACGGTAGTACGGTACGGTAGTACGGTACGGTACGGTACGGACCGGTACGGTAGTACGGTACGGTACGGTACGGACCGGTACGGTACGGTACGGTACGGTACGGTACGGACCGGTACGGACGGACGGACGGACGGACGGACACAGCGGGAACGTCATCGTGGAGAAACTAGCGAACCGCTGAGCTGCACGGCTCAGAAACGGACGCTCCCCCAGTCCACTAATTAGAATGCGTTCCGGGCGTGCGGAGCGTCTATGTAGTTCATCTCGCGCTGGCGCAGTTGTACGCTGCCCTTATGGCGGGGTGTGTTTCGTTTTTCCGACAAAGGAGAGGCGCTACCCGGAAATGCTTCTATTTAACCAAGCCAAAACAAACTTAACCTAACCTGTCCTAACCTATAACCTACTACCTACAACCTAAAACCGTAAACCTATAACGGGCCAAACAAAACGTTCAGAGCGATTGATTGACTGCAAACACCGGCGGCCCATTATTCACCAGGCGCGCATCCTACCTTACCGACTTGGCCACTCAGCCTGAGCGAGCCGACCGGAGCCCCAGTTATGACCCAGTATGGGGTTCTTTCTCCTTTGTTGGAAAAACGAAATGCGCGCGGGCGGGCGGCCGGAGCCGGGGGGGGGGGGGCTGGGCGGCGGCCGGAGCCGGGGGTGCTGGGCGGCCGGAGCCGGGGGGGGGGGGCGGGGGCTGGGCGGCGGCCGGAGCCGGGAGCGGGGGGGGGCTGGGCGGCCGGAGCCGGGGAGGGGGGGCTGGGCGGCGCCCCCGCTGCGTCAAAGGCAGACAGACCGGTGGCCGACCCCTCAGACACTGTAACTAGCGGCCGCCGCGGCCCGGCCGAATTGGACTACCAAAAGACCAAAATCCACCTCCAACCACACAACTACAGTAATGGCCCATGCCCCTATTGCTTTCCGAACGTCAATTTGTCACTCTCGGGATCAGAAGTTTAAGACTCGAACGAGTCGCCGAGTGCAGTGCTTGGTGTTGGTCCGCGGCTCCGCTGGCGCCCGATGAGAGAGAGAGAGAGAGAGAGAGAGAGAGAGAGAGAGAGAGAGAGAGAGAGAGAGAGAGAGAGAGAGAGAGAGAGAGAGAGAGAGAGAGGGAGGGAGGGAGAATTTATTGGAGCATCCATATTCAGTTTCACACATGTCGAAACATCACGATTGGCGTAGAAGCGCTATGGCGCTTAAAACGAGACGCCGCTCAAAACAAGTAGAAAGCAGACATAACAGTAGGTACTAATTGAACACTACTAATCACTACTGATCTTAATCAAAATGTCAATATTTATTTGACGACTCCGGCTCCGCCTCCGGGCTGTATCGTTTCAAGCCTCCGGCTCCGGGCAAAATATGCCGGCTCCGGCTCCGGCTCCGGCTCCGGCTCCGGCTCCGCACCCCTGCTGGGCACAGAGCTGTGTTAACAACTCATGCATCGTTGTCAGGTGGGAAACCATTTCACATTGAGCAGAAGACAATATATGATGGGCAATATACAATATACGGGTCATGTAGAGTGACTTGGTTATGTTCACACTGGACACATGCACGTCCAGCGCTGAGCGAACCGGCACCGGAAACCCAGCCCCCGCCGGGAGGGCGGGGGGGAGGGTGCCGGCCCGTCTGGGAGGTGGGTTGCTCACTACTCACAGCGCAGGCCCGGCTCGCCTAACGGTCACCGCTCGGGAATCGTTTCCTGTCGACACGCCCACTGTCGGAGACGGCGGGGTGAGCAGCTGATCGATGAGGTGTTACCTGAGTCCGAGTATTTGCGCTGCTACCTACCCAGTCCGTCCATTATAATGCCTTCGATGGTCGGCTGGTTAGCTCAGCGGCGGGGGCCGTCCCCTCGGCCGCCCCGACCGGGACCGGCGGGGGACCTCCCGCGGCGGCGCTCGGTCACCCACGCGCTGATGGCGTGCGTGGCCTGCCAGGCGGGCCCCGACCCGCGGCGCGCCGGGCGGGCTGGCTCGGTCTCCCGTGGTCGGAGTTCCCGGAAAGCGTCGGCTCCCACGATATCTTCAAGGTCAGCTGGCTCTTTGATTGAGACTGCAATGTCTCCCTCTGTCTTCTTCACGCGCACACAGCCGTTGGTCGTGTAGGCGGCCCACAGTGACTTTCGTTTCCGGAGCTGCCTAGCCAAGAAGAGTAGTTGCTGGTTTTAGCTGTCAGGCACTCTGACACAAAGATGCGGCTAATCACGGGTCAGCACCGGATGGCCACCCACCTTCACAGCCTTCAGCTCCTTTCGCTTGTCGAATAGTTTTTTGTCGAGCGTTTGTTGTGGCGAATTTGGCGATGATGAGCCGTACCTTGCCTGGCTTTGGACGTCCAAGGCGGTGGGACCGGTCCAGGCTGTCGGCCGACAGATTGAGACCGGCGCACACTGGGCCGGGGGCCCGGAAAAGTGCTAGAAATTATGTGTGATTGAGTTGTTGATCTCAGTGACAAACAAACATGCTAAAAACGAAGTGGGGCTGCTTAACCCTCGCCGGACCTATTGTCGGACCCCCCACCCCCTCGGCCGGCCGAGGGGGGAGGGTTGGTCGACCCCTTTTCGCCGTTCCGCCCCTAATGGAGCTAGAGCCTCGCGGAAAAACAAGCGTGTGCGCTGTTTCAAGACGGAACGATTGATACCCGATTTTAAGGTCCCAGGTCAACCGGTAACCTCTGAGGTGAAGTCAAAAAGCCCAAGGTAGGGTTTGGTTTTTGGTAAATAATTTCGCAAAAAATGGCCACAGAGCAGCGATTTTGGCACCATCGTGTTCGCCTGGCTCAGGCGCGTCGAATGGTATATTTTTTGTCCGGGTGAGGTCAACTTAAGGTGTTGACCTCGAGTCAAGGTCAGGTCAGAGCCCATCAGGCCACGAACTTAATCGAAGGAAGTCGTATCGGCCGCATATCATTCGATTCGGGAGGTCTTTCCGAGTCCATTGGTGGCTTTCCCGAGTCGCTGGCTCAATTTGATCTTGTGTTATTGACGAGAAACTCCTATGACCGTAGTGACGTCATAAATGACGTCACGAAAGGTCAAAAATGCAAAAGTAAAGCATCGGATCTTGCAAGGAGTGCATGAAATCACGATTCCGTGTGCTTGAGATAGTTTGAGATCATTCCATGCGCAAAAACAACAGTTTCCTTATTTGCCCTACAAAGTACCTAATCGTGTCGCGGGGCTCCATCCAGGAGCTTGGTTGCCATGGAAACGACGCTTTGAATAAAGTCCTTCATCGCCGTAAAGTTTTCTTTTGTGATGCCCTAAACGCAAAATTCAAAATCTCGTGAAGGTGTGGCCCTAAAAATGCGGCCCTAAAGTTGTGGGGCTAAATTAAAACAGCTCGAGCGATGATGGTCTAAACTTCTAAAACGGGTATGTATGAGTTGACAACCAAATAAGCCCGTTTTCCTTTGGACGACAACCACCGAAACACTTTTTTCCAGCCCTGCCAGTGAAACGTGGTGAGCCGTGGCGCGGGAACCGGGGGGCTAGCGGGGGCTGAGCCCCCCCCCCCCCCAACTTTTCGGCTGGGGGGCTCGTAATGTATTTGAGCCCCCCCCCCCCCCAGCTGGAGGAATCGAACTCGGAAATCTACCAACATAATTTCATAGATTCATACATAGGCGCGGAAACCGGGGGAGGGGGCAGTGGGGGAAGCTTGCCCCCACAACTCTGCGGCCGTGGGGGCGGTGCCCCACAACCTTTCATGAGGCCAGGAACCGTTGGGACTTGGGCAGCTTGTCCTCCCCAAATTAGGGGTTGTGGGTTACAAAGAAAGAAAGCATGTAAGTGAAAAAATCCACCTCTCACTGGCTCGGCAACTCATTTGGCAGATTAAAACCTTTATTCCAGGTTGCCAAAACGGTACGTAGTTTCTTCATTCAACTGAGACGGAATACCTCACTTTTTTGCAAATATTTTCTCTTTTTGTTGAAAAGGCCAAGGTCTGAAAAATAAG